GCACTCACACACCTATACCAGCACTCTCACACCTATACCAGCACTCTCACACCTATACCAGCACTCACACACCTATACCAGCACACCTATACCAGCACTCACACTATACCAGCACTCACACACCTATACCAGCACACCTATACCAGCACTTACACACCTATACCAGCACTCACACACCTATACCAGCACTCTCACACCTATACCAGCACTCTCACACCTTATACCAGCACTCACACACCTATACCAGCACTCACAACACCTATACCAGCACTCACACACCTATACCAGCACACCTATACCAGCACTTACACACCTATACCAGCACTCACACACCTATACCAGCACTCTCAACCCTATACCAGCACTCTCACACCTATACCAGCACTCACACACCTATACCAGCACTCTCACACCTATACCAGCACTCACACCTATACCAGCACTCTCAACACCTATACCAGCACACCATAACCAGCCTTACACACCTTATACCAGCACTCACACCTATACCAGCACTCTCACACCTATACCAGCACTCACACACTATACCCAGCACTCTCACACCTATACCAGCACACCTATACCAGCACTCACACACCTATACCAGCACTCTCACACCTATACCAGCACTCTCACACCTATACCAGCACAACCTATACCAGCACTCACACACCTATACCAGCCTCTCACACCTATACCAGCACTCTCACACCTATACCAGCACTCACACACCTATACCAGCACTCACACACTATATACCAGCACTCACCACAACCTATACCAGCACTCTCACACCTATACCAGCACTCACACCTATACCAGCACTCTCAACCTATACCAGCACACCTATACCAGCACTTACACACCTATACCAGCACTCACACCTATACCAGCACTCTCACCACCTATACCAGCACTCACACACCTATACCAGCACTCTCACACTATACCAGCACACCTATACCAGCACTCACACACCTATACCAGCACTCTCACCACCTATACAGCACCTCTCACACCAACTATACCAGCACTCACCACACCTATACCAGCACTCACACACCTATACCAGCACTCTCACACCTATACCAGCACTCACACACCTATACCCAGCACTCACACACCTATACCAGCACTCTCAACCTATACCAGCACTCTCACACCTATACCAGCACTCACACACCTATACCAGCACTCTCACACCTATACCAGCACTCTCACACCTATACCAGCACTCACACACCTATACCAGCACTCACACACCTATACCAGCACACCTATCCAGCACTCACACACCTATACCAGCACTCACACACCTATACCAGCACTCACACACCTATACAGCACTCTCACACCTATACCAGCACTCTCACACCTATACCAGCACTCTCACACCTATACCAGCACTCACACACCTATACCAGCACTCTCACACTATACCAGCACTCTCACACCTATACCAGCACTCTCACACCTATACCAGCACTCACACACCTATACCAGCACTCTCACACCTATACCAGCACTCTCACACCTATACCAGCACTCACACACCTATACCACAGCACTCACACACCATATACAGCACTCTCACACTATACCAGCACTCACACCTATACCAGCACTCTCACACCTATACCAGCACACCTATACCAGCACTCTACACACCTATACCAGCACTCACACACCTATAGCAGCACTCTCACACCTATACCAGCACTCACACCTATACCAGCACTCTCACACCTATACCAGCACACCTATACCAGCACTCACACACCTATACCAGCACTTACACACCTATACCAGCACTCACACACCTATACCAGCACTCTCACACCTATACCAGCACTCACACACCTATACCAGCACTCTCACACCTATACCAGCACACCTATACCAGCACTCACACACCTATACCAGCACTCTCACACCTAATACCAGCACACCTATACCAGCACTCACACACCTATACCAGCACTCTCACACCTATACCAGCACTCTCACAACACCTATACCAGCACTCACACACCTATACCAGCACTCTCACACCTATACCAGCACTCTCACACCTATACCAGCACTCCTCACACCTATACCAGCACTCCACACACCTATACCAGCACTCTCACACCTATACCAGCACTCTCACACCTATACCAGCACTCTCACACCTATACCAGCACTCACACACCTATACCAGCACTCACACACCTATACCAGCACACCTATACCAGCACTCTCACACCTATACCAGCACACCTATACCAGCACTCTCACACCTATACCAGCACTCTCACACCTATACCAGCACTCACACCTATACCAGCACTCTCACACCTATACCAGCACACCTATACCAGCACTTACACACCTATACCAGCACTCACACCTATACCAGCACTCTCACACCTATACCAGCACTCACACACCTATACCAGCACTCTCACACCTATACCAGCACACCTATACCAGCACTCACACACCTATACCAGCACTCTCACACCTATACCAGCACTCTCACACCTATACCAGCACTCACACACCTATACCAGCACTCTTCACACCTATACCAGCACTCTCACACCTATACCAGCACTCACACACCTATACCAGCACTCACACACCTATACCAGCACTCTCACACCTATACCAGCACTCTCACACCTATACCAGCACTCACACACCTATACCAGCACTCTCACACCTATACCAGCACTCTCACACCTATACCAGCACTCACACACCTATACCAGCACTCACACACCTATACCAGCACTCACACACCTATACCAGCACTCACACACCTATACCAGCACTCTCACACCTATACCAGCACTCTCACACCTATACCAGCACTCACACACCTATACCAGCACTCACACACCTATACCAGCACTCACACACCTATACCAGCACTCTCACACCTATACCAGCACTCACACACCTATACCAGCACACCTATACCAGCACTACTTACACACCTATACCAGCACTCACACACCTATACCAGCACTCACACACCTATACCAGCACTCACACACCTATACCAGCACTCTCACACCTATACCAGCACTCTCACACCTATACCAGCACTCTCACACCTATACCAGCACTCACACACCTATACCAGCACTCTCACACCTATACCAGCACTCTCACACCTATACCAGCACTCTCACACCTATACCAGCACTCACCACCTATACCAGCACTCTCACACCTATACCAGCACTCTCACACCTATACCAGCACTCACACACCTATACCAGCACTCACACACCTATACCAGCACTCTCACACCTATACCAGCACTCACACCTATACCAGCACTCTCACACCTATACCAGCACACCTATACCAGCACTTACACACCTATACCAGCACTCACACACCTATACCAGCACTCTCACACCTATACCAGCACTCACACCTATACCAGCACTCTCAACCTATACCAGCACACCTATACCAGCACTCACACACCTATACCAGCACTTACACACCTATACCAGCACTCACACACCTATACCAGCACTCTCACACCTATACCAGCACTCACACACCTATACCAGCACTCTCACACCTATACCAGCACACCTATACCAGCACTCACACACCTATACCAGCACTCTCACACCTATACCAGCACACCTATACCAGCACTCACACACCTATACCAGCACTCTCACACCTATACCAGCACTCTCACACCTATACCAGCACTCACACACCTATACCAGCACTCTCACACCTATACCAGCACTCTCACACCTATACCAGCACTCTCACACCTATACAGCACTCACACACCTATACCAGCACTCTCACACCTATACCAGCACTCTCACACCTATACCAGCACTCTCACACCTATACCAGCACTCACCACCTATACCAGCACTCACACACCTATACCAGCACACCTATACCAGCACTCTCACACCTATACCAGCACACCTATACCAGCACTCTCACACCTATACCAGCACTCTCACACTATACCAGCACTCTCACACCTATCCAGCACTCACACACCTATACCAGCACTCTCACACCTATACCAGCACTCTCACACCTATACCAGCACTCACAACACCTATACCAGCACTCACACACCTATACCAGCACTCACACCTATACCAGCACTCTCACACCTATAACAGCACTCTCACACCTATACCAGCACTCTCACCTATACCAGCACTCTCACACCTATACCAGCACTCTCACACCTATAACAGCACTCACACACCTATACCAGCACTCTCACACCTATACCAGCACTCTCACACCTATACCAGCACTCTCACACCTATACCAGCACTCTCACACCTATACCAGCACTCTCACACCTATACCAGCACTCTCACACCTATACCAGCACTCACACACCTATACCAGCACACCTATACCAGCACTCACACCTATACCAGCACTCACACACCTATACCAGCACACCTATACCAGCACTTACACACCTATACCAGCACTCACACACCTATACCAGCACTCTCACACCTATACCAGCACTCTCACACCTATACCAGCACTCACACACCTATACCAGCACACCTATACCAGCACTTACACACCTATACCAGCACTCACACACCTATACCAGCACACCTATACCAGCACTTACACACCTATACCAGCACTCACACCTATACCAGCACTCTCACACCTATACCAGCACTCTCACACCTATACCAGCACTCACACACCTATACCAGCACTCACACACCTATACCAGCACTCTCACACCTATACCAGCACTCACACACCTATACCAGCACTCTCACACCTATACCAGCACTCTCACACCTATACCAGCACTCACACACCTATACCAGCACACCTATACCAGCACTCACACCTATACCAGCACACACCTATACCAGCACTCTCACACCTATACCAGCACTCTCACACCTATACCAGCACTCTCACACCTATACCAGCACTCACACACTATACCAGCACACCTATACCAGCACTCACACCTATACCAGCACTCACACACCTATACACAGCACACCTATACCAGCACTTACACACCTATACCAGCACTCACACACCTATACCAGCACTCTCACACCTATACCAGCACTCACACACCTATACCAGCACTCTCACACCTATACCAGCACACCTATACCAGCACTTACCACCTATACCAGCACTCTCACACCTATACCAGCACTCACACACCTATACCAGCACTCTCACACCTATACCAGCACTCTCACACCTATACCAGCACTCTCACACACCTATACCAGCACTCTCACACCTATACCAGCACTCACACACCTATACCAGCACTCTCACACCTATACCAGCACTCACACACCTATACCAGCACACCTATACCAGCACTTACACACCTATACCAGCACTCACACACCTATACCAGCACACCTATACCAGCACTTACACACCTATACCAGCACTCACACACCTATACCAGCACTTCACACACCTATACCAGACTCACACACCTATACCAGCACTCACACACTATACCAGCACTCACACACCTATACCAGCACTCACACACCTATACCAGCACTCTCACACCTATACCAGCACTCACACACCTATACCAGCACTCTCACACCTATACCAGCACTCTCACACCTATACCAGCACTCACACACCTATACCAGCACTCTCACACCTATACCAGCACTCACACACCTATACCAGCACTCACACACCTATACCAGCACTCACACACCTATACCAGCACTCACACACCTATACCAGCACTCACACACCTATACCAGCACTCTCACACCTATACCAGCACTCACACACCTATACCAGCACTCTCACACCTATACCAGCACACCTATACCAGCACTCACACCTATACCAGCACTCACACACCTATACCAGCACTCTCACACCTATACCAGCACTCTCACACCTATACCAGCACTCACACACCTATACCAGCACTCTCACACCTATACCAGCACTCTCACACCTATACCAGCACTCACACACCTATACCAGCACTCTCACACCTATACCAGCACTCACACACCTATACCAGCACTCTCACACCTATACCAGCACACCTATACCAGCACTCTCACACCTATACCAGCACTCACACACCTATACCAGCACTCTCACACCTATACCAGCACTCTCACACCTATACCAGCAGCACTCTCACACCTATACCAGCACTCTCACACCTATACCAGCACTCTCACACCTATACCAGCACTCACACCTATACCAGCACTCACACACCTATACCAGCACTCACACACCTATACCAGCACTCTCACACCTATACCAGCACTCACACACCTATAAAGGTGTGAGAGAGAAAAAGAGATAGTGTGAGTGTGTGTGTGTGTGTGTGTGTGCATGTGTGAGTGTGAGAGAGAGAGAGAGAGAGAAAGAGATATAGTGTGCGTGTGTGTGAGAGAGAAAGATAAGAGAGAGAGAGAGAGAGAGATCGAGTGTGTGTGTGTGTGTGTGTGTGTGTGTTTGTGGAACCCCACAGGGCAGCTAAACTACCCTCACAACATCAACACACAATCTCACGACTCACTGACTCAGAAAAAATCTCTCGTTTTTTTAAACACACACAAGGGCCGTCTCTCTCTGCACATCACCTCGGTCTCTCTCTGCCTCAAACACACTCAATCCTGACAGCTTGATATGTATTAATATTTACTGTTGTCTTGGTAACAGAGCATCTCAGCCCGCCTCGGACAAGATGATTAAGAAAGCCATCAAAACACACACATGCAGAGTCACGTGTGTCCTCATCTCGTCTCTCTGTCCCTAGAGGACACCTGGCATCTAAAGCTAACAACACTTCCTCTATTAAAACACATCTTTTTGTCATCAATACTAGAATGACAGTAAAATATTATGTATTAATAATTGTGTGACCTCCCTATAAAATAGGACTTTACTATTTTTCAAGTTGCTTAACCTTCAGAAACTAAACTAGATATGAGTTTTATTTTACATTTAATCTGTGTTTTGGAACTTTTCCTACCCCGTTAGAAGATCAAAAATATGCGAATCATAAAGAATATAAACAATTATACATTACAGGGCTGAATAGTTAATAGCTGAACCTGATGCAGTGTAATATATGTAAAACAATTAAGAAATTAGGATGAAATCGGGGGCCTAAAATTAGTCCCTTCTTACAATAAGTGTCATAATTTGAAGATTAAGAAAGTCAAATCTAATGGTCCGTTTTAACAGGGCAAAGATGGGGTTGTTCAAGTCAGGAATGTGTGTGTTATCTATTGAGCAATTAAAACTCTTAAACTGTTAAAAATGTAAAATGTCATATTTCTACAGTGAATTGAATGTGAGTTAAAGATATTATGGCAGGAGTTTAAAACTGATGAACACTGTTTTACTGCTTTACAAAGAAAGGACATCATTTCAATGAAAAATGTGTGTGTGTGTTCACTCACTCTCATGCGGATGAGTCCGGTGGCCTCTGTACAGGAGCTGCTCAGGCCGAAGCAGTAGCACTTACTGCAGCCCAGAGGATTCCTGCGACTGAGGCCGAACGAGCCCGTCTTACAGCGGTCACACCTCACTCCCTCCACGTTAGCCTGAACACACACTCACATCAGTGCTGCCACTCTCGCTCACAGCAGATTTCACCCTTTCAATGCACATATTTCTATTAACATGAAATATACACAAATAAACACACCACCAGGTAAAAGTTTAAAATTGTAAAAAAATGTTATCCTTTCCACATTAAAATAAGTGATAAAAACTCTAAAAACTGAATTGTGTTTCATCAGATATTATCAGATAGTATTTTACTGTATGCTTTTTTTGGTTCATTGTCTTTATTGTTTAAATGGTAGATACCTTGCAGGAGCACTGGCCGCTTCTGTCGGCACACGCGCAGAGGCCCGACTCCGCCTCACAGGCGTCCTCCGACGAGCCGGCCGACGAGCACTGGCAGGAAATGCATTGTGGGAAGTCTCTGTACCCCAGCTTACACTCGTCACACTTCTCGCCCCTGAACTGCTCTCGGCACATGCAGCAGCCGGTGTTCACGTTACACTGCTGCGTCACGGACCCCAGCGCGTCACAGCCGCACGCCTGCACACACACACACACATCCAAATCACATTATACTGAACATTTACAAACAAACAAGAAGCTCATTTTTATGTGATTTTATATTTGAGTTTTTAAAAATAACATTATATTGTCTCAGAGATATATTGATGACTGTTTTGTTATTTACTAAGGCTCACTGTCTAAGACCTTCAAATCAAATGTGCATGTCATGTGGGTAATGCTAATGCCAACTTTTTGGATAGTTGAATATTAATTGTTGATAAACAAATGGTCTCTACTCTTTATAGAAAAGATCCTGAAAAGAACAGTCGGTAACACTTTACCTGAAGGGGTGTGCATTAGACTGACATGGCACCTTCATAATCATTTTCATTCAATCAATTTGACATTACAAAAACACCATAAATTGTCATAAATATGTTTGATAATTAATCTGCTATGTCATGTCTATGTCATCTTTATGCCAATTTATGATGTATTGGTTTATCAAGGTGTCATAACAAAGACATCTCAAACAACGTCATATTTGCATTAAAAATGTCATAATTGAGCGAATGACATATAATGACAGTTGCCATAAACATGCATAAACCCTGTCGAGTCATGATTATGAATGTGTCATGTCTGTCTTATGTACACCCCTTAAAGTAAACTGTTACCGAACAGTCTTCTTGATGACCTTAGAGCGGTTGTTAAGACTATCTGTTTTAAGAAAGAGGGTTTGAAGTTAATGTCCTGACCCTGTGGGCAGACGAATGACACAGGATATCCCAATAACTGACTGGATACTGGATTAAGTGACTGAATACTGCACTTAAAGGGATACTTCACCTCTGGAAAGATGAATGTGTATTTAAAATGGGTCATTTATGTAGAAGAAATGTGAAATTACTTTTGAATTTTGAGCTTTCTAGATTGAGAAAAGCAAGAAAATGTATGTTTGGCTTATGTGGATGAAAGACAACAACTCCCACAATGCACTTGCTTCGCTGCCCTAGGAGGCCACGCCTACCGGTTACAGAGCGCAGTCGTTAAACAACAAGTCTAGGCTACTAGTGAGTCTGCCGAAAATGCGTTTCCAGATCGTCCCGGATTGGGCTTTTGCGTTCTGCAGTCGCCATTCATCATGTTTACTGTGGCGAGCGGGACGAGTGAGGGCCGCGGGAGAACGGCGCGAGGCCGGTGGTGTGATTACGATGAGCGACACCTGTGAGACACACCGGTCTCGTATCTCCCACAGAGGAGCAGGGATTTTCTTAACAATGTTACAACGCACATCAACCAATCACTAGTTTAGCGTTCACGTAAACACTACATTCAGATCCACCAATGGGAATGAATTCAGTTAGATCAAAACAAAAGCTGTGCATGTAAACAATGAATGGCGAATCCCGGACATCGACGGCCAGGCATGTCCGGGAAAAAGAGGACGGTGACCCCGACTACTCAGCTTTCTCCACAGAACAAGAGTCTGCTAGCTTAGCTTCCAAACAAAGATGGCCGACACTATGTGTTAATTCTGTGAGTGAGATCGCCCTCTATGGGCGGGTTAAGAACTTTAGTCTTTAGGCTCTGAACAAATTTTTTTCCAGACAAAAAAAAATACATAAATCTCTCGTCTCAGGGGGATATGAGGGTGGAAAGCACGGTAATTTGAAAATACTACTGGTTTTCAACCAATTCAAAGCTCAATGCTAAATCCTGAAGTATCCCTTTAAAGGGGAAATGAAGCGGTGAATCAAGTTTACGTGATTTACAAGATGGATTTCCAATATAATCAACAATTATATAAGAAACACTACAAATGTAAACATTTAGAAGAAAAAAACGTATCTTTCGCCGCCAGGGCGCCGCCATTGTGCAGGTGACGTCACGGGGTTGGTTGGCTCAAGTTTAACAGGCTCTGGGCATTGAAAATCGCGACATCAAACTGTGTTTACACCAGAACGCGAACGACTAATGTTAGGTACAGTCATTAGACAAAAAGACGACGTCTCATGTTATATGTTGACAAACTGCACATAGAAACATTGTTCGCGATGTCTGCCGTCAGATATTCCCTTCTCGTCAACACCATAAGTTACGTTGCTGTGTAGAACAGCCGGTGGTGGTTTGGGGCGAAGAGCGGGTTTGCAACGCTAACTTACCAGGTGTCAGTGTGGCTGTTGTACTGCGATGCCCTCCGTGTCAGAGTCCATCTGTTGTCAAGAGGTTGATCTTGAGCATGTGTTGCGTGGTCAATTCTGCATCACCGGCGCGTTACCATGCTGTGCCGAGAGTTAGACGTGTGGAAGCGGCGATGCTTTCCCTAAAGGATGTCAGAGCGGAGACACTTTTTCCTAGTATATGTAGGCTGTAGCTAACGTTACTAGCACTACCAGTGCGAAAATATGGACGTTTCATTTCTCCTTTAACAAATACGTGCTAACTTACATGTTATTGACGAGACGGGAATATCTGACGGCAGACATCGCGAACAATGTTTCTATGTGCAGTTTGTCAACATATAACATGAGACGTCGTCTTTTTGTCTAATATCTGTACCTAACATTAGTCGTTCGCGGTCTGGTGTAAACACAGTTTGATGTCGCGATTTTCAATGCCCAGAGCCTGTTAAACTTGAGCCAACCAACCCCCGTGACGTCAACTGCACAATGGCGGCGCCCTGGCGGCGAAAGATACAAAGTTTTTTCTTTTTTTCTTCTAAATGTTTACATTTGTAATGTTCCTTATATAATTGTTGATTATATTGGAAATCCATCTTGTAAATCATGTAAACTTGATTCACCGCTTCATTTCCCCTTTAAAGTGTGTACTTTCCATTCAGAACCACTAATGGTTATAAAGTCTGATAAAGGTTGATCATTATAACTGACTCAATAGAAATCAGTGTGAATAAAATGCACTTCTCGACTGCCCTCGGTTGCTTCTCTTTCTTCCCTAAGGTGAGAACTTTTCCACTGAGATTGAGGATTACTATTTCCCCCAGCGGGGTACCCCAAGGCTCCGCTTCGGGCCCGGTTTCGTTATGCTGTAAATGCTCCTGTTAGGTTTATTTTTTCTCAGACACAAAACATCTCATACTAAGCTCTGCCTTACAATCTCTGTTTGCCATGAGGACATGGTTAGACGGCTACCAAACTTTTGGAAAGATGCAAAATTTTACCAGAGATTGCATATGGTAAGGAGGCGATGAGAACATGTGTTTTGTGTGTCATTGAAGAAAACATTACAGTAAACAATGCTTATCAATCACATTTTATTACACTGTCACTGAAAAGAGTTTTGTCATGTTTGTGGATATCTTAGGACTGATGGGTGGTCTGGGACTTATAAGCTACAAATATAGCTACACAATGAATGTCACACGAGCAATTGGTTCACTGTAAGAAACCGTACCACAGCGAATAACAGCAAATGGTAATTTTATGTAATTAGGGCCCGAGCACTAACAGTGCGAGGACCCTATTGAAACTGTTAGGGTTATTTTTTTTTCTTTTTTCTTTTTTCTGCAAAGTAAGCGCCATTTTCAGGGCCGCAACATGCTCAAAAACTCACCAAATTTGGCACGCATGTCAGGACTGGTGAAAAATTTCGTATTTTGTGGGTTTCGCGGATGGGCGTGGCAAAATGGCATGCTAGCGCCACCTAGAAAATTGTAAAAAATTAGCCCCTCGTCCACGTTCAACCTACATGCACGAAATTTGGTGGGGACATGTATCTTATCAAGACGCACAAAAAAGCCTCAAGAACCCATACCATAAACTCGACAGGAAGTCTGCCATTTTGAATTTGGCGGCCATTTTTGGACGATTTACCATTTTTGGACGATTTACACACTCTGTACTTTAACGAACTCCTCCTAGGGATTTAGTCGGATCGACTTCAAATTTCTGCTGTGCCTTCTAAAGGCATTGACGAAGTAAAGTTGTGCTATCTGCGTGTTTTCGTCGATGGGCGTGTCCGTGGCGTCGATGATTCGCCATGAAACAGGAAGTTGTAGTAACTTGGCTGTAAATGCCCAGATCTGCACGAAATTTTACACATTTGACAAGAGTCCCGCCCTGAACAAATCTACATGCCGACATTCACCCTAAGTCGTAGCGCCACCTGCTGGCAATAGGAAGTGACATTTAACGTAGCAGCCCCCGCCATATGTTTGACCGACATGTACGAAATTTCTGTGGTACATCTACCATGGCCAGACGCACAGAAAAGTCTCTTGGAGCGATGCCTTAAACTCGACAGGAAGTAGGCCATTTCTAATTTTACCGCCATTTTTGGATGATTTACTCATTACGTACTTTAACGAACTCCTCCTAGGGATTTAGTCGGATCGACTTTAAATTTCTGCTGTGCCTTCTAAAGGCATTGACGATGTAAAGTTGTGCTCTCTGCGCGTTTTCATTGATGGGCATGTCTGTGGCGTCGATGATTCGCCATGAAACAGGAAGTTGTAGTAACTTGGCTGTAAATGCCCAGATCTGCACGAAATTTTACAAATTTGACAATAGTCCCGCCCTGAACAAATCTATATGCTGACATTCACCCACAGTCATAGCGCCACCTGCTGGCAACAGGAAGTGACCTTTAACGAAGCAGCAAAGCAAATGCACAGCCGCACTGGCCGAGCTGCAGAATACGCAACGCGGCCGCCTCAGACCCCGACGCGCTACAGGTGCGAGGGCCCGCCCATCGCTGCTTGCAGCTTTAATTTTACAATAAAATGCTGTGTATAGTTTTTGAGAGTAAATGTTGTATAACTTACAGTGAAAAAACAGTAAACGGACATTCCCAGAAGTGCGTGTGTGACACATCATCACATATGAAGGCAACAATTTATTTAAAGCCTTTATGTACAAGGCAGTATAAAAGTATGTACATTATCTTTTTATAAATAATTGTAACCAAAGTTAAAATGCATTGTTATATTTGCATTATTCAGTACTTGAAGGTATTGATTTTCGATTGATTGAGCCGATTCAGTTTGAGGCAACAATCAAGACCTTTAGCTGCCGCTCTGTGGCATAAACTCACAGATTCACCTCGACATGCCCTGATGAATCATAATGATGTTTGTCAGAAGATAAATCTACGCAGCAGTGGAGAGGAGAGATGAGCCGTACCTTACAGCCGCTGCTGATGTCGTGACCCCAGTGGTTGGGCGCACATCTGTCACATCTCTCTCCCACGGTGTTGGGCGGACAGATACACTGACCTGTGTTAGCGTCGCAGTTATTTCCCACGTGGGCACACTGGCACGCTGCGAGACAGACAGAAACAGAGAGCAGGTTAATTGCGGAGCGCAGTGAGCACCTGTTTAAATGTCAGCGCCGGCTCTCCTCTCTGCTGCCGTTAGAGAAGACGCTCCGACTGAAAGAAGATGATGATATAAACACCTCAGATGGAAAGTGCAGCGCTCAGAGGTCAGGCTCGTTGACAGACGCACTCAGGAACTGAGCTGGAATTCACAAGGCGTTGAACTAGGGAGGTTGTGCACTTTAGATAATATATTTATATATAGTTTACTTATAATAATTGTGTTTTTTTTACTTTAAATGTTTTTTTTTCTATTAAAGTCTATGTAATTGTGTCTAAACTTAACAGTACAAAATCCTAATGTGTTGTCTAAACACAAACCATTTATGTTAAGTAAAAAAATGTGTACATCCAGAGGGTGGCAGTATAGTGCGAGGCGACTGTCAATCTGCTTAAATCTACGAACAAAATCCGTTTGTGTTGGATTACATGATTGATTTGTGTTTCCTCAACTGAAACTGGGCAGTGCTTTCAGTTCCCAGCATGCTTTGCATATGGTTGAATTAAGAGAGAATAAATGTTAAAATTAAGTGTTATTTTATGTTTTTTTTTTTTTTTTTTTTTTTAGAAATTTTGAAAAAGGGGAAGACTTGATAGTGTGTAATAGTGTTTAATGTTATACATTTGAATTATTAAACCATTTAAATTACAGTGGGTTACCATTGTGGAGAAGAGTGGAGCATTTTGTTTGGCTGTCAACTCATTTCATTATTTATTGCTTTGGATGAAGGAGCATGTAAATCTTCACATTCAAGATGTTAATATGTGCTTCTGCTATAGCAAATAGCTAGCTAAAGTCTATCAATTTAATTAAATGTCACTGAATCAAATGAGATATAAATGGATGAATGAATATAATAAAATGCCTTTGAATCATGTCAGAAAGCCTTTAAAAATTCATGTTCAGACTACTTAAATTGGGTAATTTAAAATTACATAATTCTATTATGATGAAGTTACATGAACAAATTATGCTTGTTTAATGTAATCTAGTTATGTGGAACCTGTTGACAAATTAAAATTAATTAAAGCCAAAATATATATTTTTACATCCGTTGTGTTTCATTTACAGCAGCAGCTTTATCTCATACAGTCAAGTCAAAATTCTTCAATAATGAAACGATCTCAGTTTCAGCAGTAAAACAGCTCTAAAAAGGCAGTAGAATTATTGCTCAGCTCAATTCAGTTCAATGCTGATGTTGCAAAGTTAAGGTGATGATACACAGGGCAACTTCTTGAGCAATGTTGCTGTCAACAGGCAACTAGATGAGACAGGGCCCACGACCCATCTAATTATCCAGATTTGGCCATTTTCAATGTGAAAGTGCCCAAGCAACAATCGCTCGGCAAGATCGCTCAAAACGTTATCATCATCTTTGGTGTCATTATTTCATTCTCATCCTGTCAGTGTAGTTAATACCAGTTAATAACGACAATATGAATGAATATTAATGGTCTTTTAAAACAGAAAGAAGAAACGTTCATTTTGACACAGAGTTTGGTAAATCAGATGCGTAAACATCGCCATTATGTTCAAACTGTGTCTCAAGGACTAGTATGGCCAAATAGCAGTTAGTTAGGGGTAATCAGTCTTACTTTTATATTATTTCACCAATCTGAAACCGTCTTAAAGAAACATTATTTTAAGACTAGTCAAAGGGACTACGGATGCTATAATCTTGTTGCATTTTGTATTTTTATACTAATGTTTATTACCATGCATTGTCCCTTTTAAGTATAATTATGTCTTCTTCTTAAACTAAAGATTAGGTAAAGATGAAGGTGAATATGTGTTCAGATTAACAACACATTTGACATAGCTAGTAGGTCCCAAATTTTAGAATAGTCTCCTATTCCATGTGAGGTGAACTTACAAAAGTCAATTACAAAAGTCTTATTTAAAAACGTATTTATTTTCTTTAGCCTTTGAATAAAGTATGTTTTGTTGTAAGACTTTCATGTTATTATTCTGTAAAGCACTTTGGGGCAACGGCAGTTGTTTAAAGGTGCAGTGTGGGATTTTTAGCGACATCTAGTGGTTCGGTTGTGAGTTTGCACCAGGTTTGCACTAAGGGCTCAGCCCTCCCTTTCGAAGAAGCTACGGTTACTAAAACGAGACAAACATTTTGTAATAACAAAGACAATGTCATATTTGCATTACAAATGTCATAACTGAGCGAATGACACTTAAAGGGTTAGTTCACCCAAAAATGAATATTCTGTCAGTATTTACTCACCCTCATGTTGTTCCAACCCCGTAAGACCTTCGTTCATCTTCGGGACACAAATTAAGATATTTAAGATATTAAGATCGCTCCTGCATACAGTCCATAGGCTTCTTGAGGGAATGACTCTTGCTGGCATCGAAAAGTCATTAAAGACATCGTTAAAATAGTCCAAGTGACTACAGTGGCTCAATTTTAAGTTTATCAAACGACGAGAACACTTTTGTGCGCAAAAAAACAACAAAAATAACGACTTTATTTCAACTATTCACTTCCTTCTCCATGAGCCTGTAGTCAGTTAACGTAGTGTGATTGCGTAGAGCTACGTCACACGTAGGCTCACTATTGGCCGACGCTGGTCATGTGTGTGTGATGCGTGTGACGTACAATAACAGAAGCTTACGCTATTAAACTAGTAACCTGACTCGCGCAGAGGGAGAAATAAACGAATAGTTGTCGTTATTTTTGTTGTTTTTTGCGCACAAAAGTGTTCTCGTCGTTTGATAAACTTAAGATTGAGCCCCTGTAGTCACTTGGACTATTTTAACGATGTCTTTAATGACTTTTTGATGCCAGCAAGAGTCATTCCCTCAAGAAGCCTATGGACTAGTATGCAGGAGAGATCTTAATATCTTAAATATCTTAATTTGTGTTGCGAAGATGAACGAAGGTCTTACGGGGTTGGAACAACATGAGGGTGAGTAAATACTGACAGAATTTTCATTTTTGGGTGAACTAACCCTTTAATGACAGTTGTCACAAACATGCATAAAACTTCCTTCATATGTCAAGTCATGGTTATGAAGGTGTCATGTCAGTCTTATGCACACCCCTTCAAGTAAAGTGTTACCAGAATGTCTAAATCTCGAGTTAAGGCTCCAAATGAGTTTAGTGATTCAGATCAATTAGTGATTACCTCTTCAACTAAAGTGCTATCGTGTTTTCTTGTAAATGTTTAGCTTTACGCCGAGAAACTGTGATCGCTCGCAACAAGCTCAAAAGGTTTTGTGAGAGAAAGCTCAAGGGAACTAAAAAAATAAATAAATAATTGACATACTATTTGTTGGTATGTTTTCAGCAAGAGGGAAATTAATAATGGAAATTAATTCATTAATAAACTATTTTTCGGTATATTTTCGGTGCTCCATAGAAATGGCAAGAGGGAAATTAATAATGAAGAGAATTTAAATTCTGAAGTGAACTGTAGTGTAACTTCACTGAGATCTCATTTGTGTTTTGTTCTATCTTCTGGATTTACTGTAACAATGCATCTAAACACACATCTGGACCTGGACTGAATTAGACCTCCCCGTTCCCGAGGTTTGACTTCTTACGTGTGCAGCCGCCCTCCTGGAAGCTGAAGTGTCCTGGAGCGCAGCGGTCACACTTCTGTTCCGTCACGCCAGGCTGACAGCGACACTGACCGCTCTCGTCACAATCAAACGACTTCGATCCGAAGGAATTGCAATGGCATGGGACGCAGCCCTGGGAGCCCTGCATGTGAAACCCCGACTGAGAGACCATGCGGAGCAGAGAGAGAGATGTTAAAATAAGGCTGTTGTAAACTTTGTGACACTTTCCACAAATAAGGTACAAAATAGTTTTAAGAAAGCAGCTCATTTACCATCTACTATGAAAGAACTATTCACTGTAAAAGAAATATATGATCAATAAGTTACAACAACGTATATTTTTAAGTTGCTTTAACTCATCAAAATAAGTAAAGTATCCGACAAACAACTCTAAGCATCCAAGTTGATTGTCCTTAAAAATGTACAGTGTTTAAGATGCATTAGAGACCTCAGGTTGTATTATTTTTATTGTTATTTTTAATATCAGTTTTTCCACCGACTGTAGCTCAACCTGAAGCTTTTATAAGGAGAAAATTAAATTAATTATTTGGTAACCACAAAACAAACACCGGATCCAATTCAATACCCAACATTAAATAAATAAACTAGGGCTGTCAAATGATTAATCGAGATTAATCGCATCCAAAATAATGTGGGTGCACTGTGTATAATTATTTTGTATATATATAAACACACACACGTGCATGTATATTTAAGAAAAACAAAATTTATATCTATAAAAATTATATTTATATATTATAAAATAAATTATATATAAATCTATTTACAGTATATACATGAAAATATTTCTTTAATATATACAAGCATGTGTGTGTACTTATATATAATAATTATACACAGTGCACCCACATATAATATGTAAACTTTTATTTTGGATGCGATTAATCGCGATTAATTGTTTGACAGCCCTAAAATAAACAAATAAATACTTTTTTTCCACATGTATTTAATGGTTTATTAAATGAGGGGGAGGATTTGACTAAGAGCATAAAGCTCAATTTTGTACCTGTACTTGTGGAATGTGTCTTACAGTCATACACACATGTATACACACAACCGCCATTAGTGTCTCAGAGAGCCGAAGCCCCTCATGAACTCAGATCACAGCTCTGAACCGGCATGCAGACGACACAGAGCAAACCAGTGTCTGACAACTCACCGTAAAGACTGTATCAAAACTTTAAAGAGGTAAACCACCAACAATTTCATTTTAATGATCAAGGATTAGCTGATAAATCTGCACACAGCATGTGGACGTGAAGCCACTGCTCCGGGGTGATTGACAGCCATCTGTCTGCTAGGAACAGGTGCGCGGTCACCGTGGCAACCGATGACAACTGGTCCTGGCACACGCTGTCAGTGCCACTCCACCGATGCCAAATATATGACGAGACACACAACACACACACTCACATCCCATCATGCAAAGCTGCAAGCCAAAGCAACAAAACTCTCTTCCAAGAGAACTCGTAAGCATGCCTTTTTAAAGATTAAGAAGAGACTAAAACAGAACAAAAAGAACAATGTGCTTTCTGCCCGCACAGACGGATCAACTCTCTTAAGCGCTACTTAACTAATGTTACATATAAACACATACAGTAATTAAAAGCCAAAGCAAACTGTGCACATTATGTTCCAACCTTCTTAAAGGTTCTATATGTAACTATTTTTATAAAATGAATCCTTTTTTTATTGCCTGTGTTTGAAGGGGTTGTAATCACACATTGCAACGATCCACTTTTCGGGTTTTGCCATTACCTCTGAAGGCCAATATTCTTATTTATATGCGAGGTCTCCGGGTCGGATTTTCTGCGAAATCCATCAGAAGTGACGTGCACGCGCGCTCCCGAGTCCCGAGCCTCTCTATCCTACAGTCTATCATGCGAACAACGGCACTTCAGCTGACGACATGGAGTCTGATAACCCCCCAAAACTCCAACACAAACTCCACATAAATATAAAAAAACAAAAAAAGTTTTATCTGCTCAAGCTCGTCAGGCAAAACGTGAATCTGATCGACTCCGGACGAAAACGCGGATCAACATAGTAAACTCAAGTGAAATAACAAGGTAAACTACAACATTACATGAATACAAAAGAATGTTCCAGGATAACATTAGTATAACATTTAGTATGTAACTTATTTTATTTACTAGATCTAACGTACTGACTAATGTCGTCATCCCACTACCATATTGTTTATACACATTTCCAGACGCGTTCAGTACAGTATTGTTACTTCCTACGATCTTATTGATACACTGAAACTGTTCAGTTTAGTTCACTAACCGTTTTCATTATCATATTATACATTCACCTTTGCTGATTGTGAAAGATACACGAATAGTTAGAGAAATGGCTTATGCTATATAACATCACATGTCGGCTAAATGCAGTTTATTGTAACAAAATCATACGAGCACAGAGGATTAGTTCAACGTCAAGCTGATAAAAGTAGGCTATTATTGTATCTGCAGTGGGAGTTTACATTAGTTTCCAGCATGTGTGATAATTTCGCGTTGCGTTGAAAGTCTCCGTGTGGTCGGTAGTGAATGATTGCTCGCTCTTGAGATTGAGCACGAGCGCTCTTGTTGCATTCTGAAACATCACCGCTAGAGGTCGCTAAACGTTGCATACAGCACCTTTAAAGCCAAAGTAAACGCTGTCTTTTTTTATTTACGCGAACACAGTATATTGGGTCTCATTCGCTGAGAACTGCACAAAAGTCGTCTACTTAAGCATGCAGACAAGTTTCTTATGTTGCATGTGAATGTGTTCCCAGACAGCAAACTGACATTGAATCAACGTGGAAACGACGTCTCTCGTGACATTGAAACAACGTTGATTTTGCTCATCGAATTAACGTTGAACCAACGTCAGACAAGGCATTCTTCAAAGCTAAATGAAAATCGAAAATTGGTTTGCTTTCATGACGTTGAAACAACGCGTTGATTTCAAGTTGATTTTCCGTTAGTTTTGAAAGAATGACGCGTCTGACGTTGGTTCAACGTTAATTCGATGAGCAAAACTATGTCAGATCAACGTTGTTTCGATGTCATATTTCCACGTTGATTCAATGTCAGTTTGCTATCTGGGTTCTTCCTCTCATGATGATGATGGTGAGTCTGGAAAAGGTTAGATGTGTGAGCACACACCAGCAGAGAAGTTCAGTTCAAGAGCGTGTGAATTGAGAAATCAAACTTTCCCCAAACTTAGTCATATAAGGCCCTGTTTACAGGGGGGCTTCAGGATTTTGGACACCGCGCCTAATTTCCAAGTTAGCCTGTGTGTTATTTATCAGTGGAGACGGTTTTCAACAATTTTCATCCAGTCGTTCCAGTTGTATAGTTCGCCGATGCTAGGCTAGCGCGAGTCAACGGTAACTGCTAGCCTGCCATTAAAAACAGTTTTATCCACTCCACAGTTCACCAAACGCAAAGAAATTATAATCGATGTAAGTGTCTGTTGAGAGAATAAATCAAACTAATCAAACCGAGAGAGGTAGTGAGAGAGAGGGGTAGAGAGAGAGAAAGAGAGGTAGTCCCAACTGTAGTGCGCTTCGGTCTATGTTTGCTTTTCGGCGCAGGACTACTAACCAGAGCAAAGTAAAATCCCGCCGCTGCTGAGAAACTAGTTCCTGTAAATGTAATGCGATCATTGAGATGCAAAAGTAGTTTGATTTCTAACATCAATCTCTCAACAGGCACTTACATCGATAGTCTAATATAATGTATTTACATTTGATAAAACTGTGGAGTGGGTAAAACTGTTTTTAATGGGAGGCTAGCAGTTACCGTTTACTCGCGTTAGCCTCCCAGACAGCAAACTGACATTGAATCAACGTGGAAACGACGTCTCTCGTGACATTGAAACAACGTTGATTTTGCTCATCGAATTAACGTTGAACCAACGTCAGACAAGGCATTCTTCAAAGCTAAATGAAAATCGAAAATTGGTTTGCTTTCATGACGTTGAAACAACGCGTTGATTTCAAGTTGATTTTCCGTTAGTTTTGAAAGAATGACGCGTCTGACGTTGGTTCAACGTTAATTCGATGAGCAAAACAATGTCAGATCAACGTTGTTTCTATGTCATATTTCCACGTTGATTCAATGTCAGTTTGCTATCTGGGCTAGCATCGGCAAACTATACAACTGGAACGACTGGATGAAAATTGTTGAAAACCGTCTCCACTGATAAATAACACACAGGGTAACTTGGAAATGAGGCGCGGTGTCCAAAATCCTGATCCACCCCTTTATAAGCGCTTTGGTTGATCGGATCACAAGTGAATAACACTAAACCACAGGTGTACATGGGAACAGAAACATTTTGAGCTTGTCCACTTCTGACCTGGAGATGTGTTTAAACAGCCACAAAGACCGTCGATACTCTCCATATACTGATTTAATGCATAAACATTGTGAGAAGTAAGTACACATTTAAACATTGTCGGATGAAGACCCTAGTTTGGTTTGAAGATGAAAAATCAAGCACACCCAGATAGAAAACTGACATTGAATCAACGTGGAAACATGACATCGAAACAACGTTGATCTGACATTGTTTTGCTCATCGAATTAACGTTGAACCAACGTCAGACGCGTCATTCTTTCAAAACTAACGGAAAATCAACTTGAAATCAACGCTTTGTTTCAACGTTATGAAAGCAAACCAATTTTCGATTTTCATTTAGCTTTGAAGAATGCCGCGTCTGACGTTGGTTCAACGTTAATTCGATGAGCAAAATCAACGTTGTTTCAATGTCATGGGAGACGTCGTTTCCACGTTGATTCAATGTCAGTTTGCTGTCTGGGCAATGTTCTCTCTCCATTCCTGATTTCTAACACACAGCAGAAATTAAAGGAGAACTCAAAATGAACCTTCGGTCTAATTACACATTGTTACCTAGTCAACCGTTATCTGAGATTTGTTTTCATGATTGCCGAATGTAAATAGTTTTATCTCTAAAAACAGTTTAGCCTATAACGCTAGTATAACGCTAGTATATAGGGCATAGAGTAATGACAAATAAAAATCGCTTGTTATTACCACTAACAAGGCTCAAAATAGCCCCACACTAACACGGTAGCATAATAAGGGTCCCTACATTCAAACTGAAGCATTGAGAACTGTGTCAGTGTCTATACAGTTTAATAAGCAGATATTTTATACACACAGTCAACTTCGCGAAAACAGGAAGAAGCCATCTTTGAAAAATAGTCTCTAGCAGTCGATCTACGAGCGCGGATCCAAGTGCGCTGAACTGTGCAGAATCTCATATGGTCCGTTGTTTTCGGAAGAAACACAAACACAAACCGTTTTCTTCTCTTCAGTATGTACACGTAGCCTACTGTTCGCGCTCACCTCATCACCTTATTCACATCTCACCAGCGCACTTGGATCGGCGTTCGTAGATCGACTGGTAGAGACTATTTTTCAAAGATGGCGTCTTCCTGTATTCGCGAAGTTGACTGTGTGTATAAAGTATCTTCTTATTAAACTGTATGGACACTGACAAAGTTCTCAATGCTTCGGTTTGAATGTAGGGACCCTTATTATGCTGTCGTGTTAGTGTGGGGCTATTTTGAGCCTTGTTAGTGGTAATAACAAGTGGTAATTACTCTATGCCCTATATACTAGCATTATAGGCTAAACTGTTTTAGAGATAAAACTATTTACATTCGGCAATCATGAAAACAAATCTCAGATAACGGTTAACCAGGTAACAATGTGTAATTAGACCAAAGGTTCATTAGACCAAAGTGCGCCTCCAGGACTTTAAAGTCATCATGAAATGAAAGTTGCGTTGGTCTTTTCTTCCTTATGGTGCCGTATATCCGAGTGAAACGCTCTTTAGGAACAAGAACACATGTGGGCGGGGCTTGATTTTGTCCATTTGGAATCACCCAGCAAACAAATTTAGGTTCTGGGAACGTTTCGGGAACGTTAGTTTTTGGTTCCCAGAACGTTCCTAGAACTTAAGGGAATGTTTCTGGAACATTCTCCTTGCGTTATAAAAATGGAACCTAAAAATAACCTACATGGAACGTTCCTATAACGTTTTTGTTTGATTCCCCAAAAAAATAACCTCATGGGACCATTCAGGAACGTTCTGTGTTTGCTGGGCGCTTGGTTGGATGGTGGATATTAGATGTTGATTCTCACAGAAAGGCACACACATGCACACACACACCCATAGAGCCTGTGCACCCATCATGCAGTGCGTTTACCCCTGTGCTGGGGCGGTAGGCCCCTCGAGGGCAGCCCCCTCTGCTCTCCCATCTCTGGATGTGTCTGATGGGCACCTGCTGCACGGGTCTCCGGGTCTCCCTGCGGGTGTGAGCCGGGCGTACGAGGTCACACCTGCGGCCCACGTGCCCGGCCCGGCAGATGCACCTGCCCTCAGAGTCGCAGCGCTGGGACACCGAGCCCCGAGCGCTGCACTGACACGGCATACACAACTGAGACTCGCCATCCCACCAACAGTTCGGCTGAACACACACACACACACGGGGTGATGAAGAGGCAGAGGCATGAAAGACTGTGTCCGCTGTGGATCTCATACAGGATTTACTCGTACTGGCGCAGTGAAAAAGAAATGTGCCACTAGCAATAGCCGCGTTTCCATTACCATTCAAACTGCGGATTGAAAATACTGTCAATGGAAACAAGTCAAATTCGGCAAAAAAAAAAAAAACTTTCGAAAACAGGCCATTCGAAAACTGCAATGGAAACATTTACAGGTCACCTGACGTACGTAAAAATGATGCGCTATGGTGTGTTTGGACAGAAGTCTTCATTAAACTCATAAAAGTAAAATATATCATGGGAACACTGGGTCTAATCAACAAAGAATGCCACAATTGATGAAGATAAGTAGCCTGGATGCCAGCCAGAACATTTTTTGTTCGGGAAGTTTGGTCTGGACTCGATCCATTGAGGAGAAATTATGATCAGGCAAAAAATGAACGGGCCAATCAGATTGCGAGGGCGGGCTTTAAACGATGATGGACAGAGGATCTGCAGGGACGTAATCATCACGTTATCAACGAGCGCTAACTGATTTCCCTCAGAGATGACTGCAGCTGAAGAATTGAGATGTATAGATTACACTGTCGCGTCTGTTGTGAAATAAATCGACAGCGCATTCATTTTAATCGACAAACAGAAAACTACAATCAAGGCATTTGTCGATCGGAAAGATATTTTTGCCGTCCTTTCAACATGATTCGGCAAAAGTGTAACTTATCAGCTGGTTCTGACAGTCGCTAAGAAGATGGGACGTGATGAAAATCTTGTGGTCGTTGTGGTTTCTCCTTTGGTCGCACTCATGGAGGAGTAAGTAAAAGGAGCAACACTTGTTATTAGGGCTGGGTAATAAATATCGATTTCTCGATATTAATCGATTCTCATTTTTACGAACCGATATCGATTCTTAAATCTCAAGAATCGATTAGTCATCCTGTTTCATTTGAATAAATGGATCATTGTATCGCGGCTGCGCGCATTCAAAACATCGCAATAATCTTTGTCCTTTGTTACTATTGATATGAAACAAAGTCTCAATTTTCAAATTACGTCCATTTTCTTTAGAAATTCAAAAATATAAATAATGTTTTGGCGCTGTGGCGTGCGATCGCTCTGGAAAAGCAGCAGCGCTGATCTCTCTTCCGGCTTAATAATACCAGTCACAGCGCCAAATAAACATGAATGAGCATCTGAAAGTGTGTTAAAGATAGAGTACAACTTATCGAAATCCGTATCATGTCACATTGATTCGCTCAATCAGCGTTTCAACCGTGGAAAGACGTCAGTTAAACAGCTTGTAATCAATGTATCGTCATATTTACCTCAGAAAACCCACATCAACTCGAGTCAGCTAGAAAAAATAACTCTAGAGAGGAGCATTTTGCTAAATATATACACCATATTACATATGCATTATAATCTTAATGTTCTTCAATATTTAAGGCATATTTGAATAAATCTGGCAAGTTTTTATGACAGCCACCATTTAAATGTTTATATTTCACATAATCTTCTTATTATAAAAATAAATAAAAGTGTAATTTAAGTGTTTGTATAGCTACAAAACAGTTCATTATTACCTTCATATTATGCTAATGAAGCCTATAGGCTACAACTAGACTCCCATAGTTTACAGCATTAGTTAAGAGATTTGATTCCCTTGAGAAAATTTGCCATTTATTTTAACTGACATCCAAAATAATCAATATTGAATCGAAATCGAATCGAATTGCAAGCTTGTGAATCGAAATCGAATCGAATTGTGAAATTTGTGTCAATTCTCAGCCCTACTCGTTATTTAACTTTTAAAATAAGTAAGTTCTGTAGTTGAAAACTGCGCTATGCAAAGGAGTTGACTTACTGCGTTGCTTTGATTGGTTGTGACTTTCCAATTGAGTGCAGAGGGTTTTTTTTTCCTGGTTCGGTTAAGACGCCTCATAATCAAAGCCCTACGGAGCGGTTTCAGACTCATATTCTCACTAGAATATGAGTATGATGAAGTCAGGCTAGAAGATAAGCAGATCTGAGGGATAAACACCTCATATGTGACACTCACAGGTAATGCTTGATAACACGTCTACGTCTACGTAATAATAACGGCCAGTGCGGTGGCTGGGATAAACCTACCAACATCCGTCGCCACGATGTTTGGAATGACTTTTGACGTTTTAGTGGCAGATTATCGGTTAATGGAAACAATTTTTGATCAACATTTAGAAAATATCGCAAAAGCTTTGCGCACGTCTGTAATGGAAGCACGGCTAATGACAGCATTCGGTGTTGTGTACCCACCATACACTCCTCACACTGGCGTCCGAGCACATGTTGTCGACACTGGCACTGGCCGGTCTCCTGATGGCACACCTCCGACACCGACCCGTTACTGTGACACCGACACGCTACACACACAGAGACAGACAAAATATGCATTACACACTTATACTCTTATTTTGTAATTCATCATTGGAGTCTGAAGCCCCTCCCCCTTCGCTCCAAAGTGTTCAACTTTCCACACTTGTTTTTTCCAGTTTATTAATTGCATCATCCAGGTATTTAAAGTGCACTTTTTCTTTTGGGAATTGTCACTGAACAAACTACTTTTAACTACGAACTATTATACTACAAAATATCATAGAATAGTGCAGATGTATGCAAATTGGGACACCTATTAAAATCCATTAAAGTCCCCCTGATCATCTACCACCACACATAATAAACGAGGCAAGGGGGCCTTTACATTCAATATACTACCAGTCAGTCACAATATTGGAATATGGTTCTCATTGGTTTTTACTAGGGCTGTCAAACGATTAATCGCGATTAATCGCATCCAAAATAAAAGTTTGTGCTTACATAATATATGTGGGTGCATTGTGTATAATTATTTTATGTATATAAAAACACACACATGCTTGTATATATTCAAGAAATATTTTCATGTATATACTGTATATAGATTGATATATAATTTATATTATATATAAATATAAATAATTTATATATAAATAATATTTTTTTTCTTAAATATACATGCATGTTATTTTGTATATATATATATAAATAATATATATTTTTCTTAAATATACATGCATGTTATTTTGTATATATATATATACAAACTTTAATTTTGGATGCGATTAATCGCGATTAATCGTTTGACAGCCCTAGTTTGTAATATTTTTAAAGGTCTCCTGCTCACCAAGGCTGCATTTATTTGATCAAAATAAAAACAGTGAAAACAGTGAAATATATAAATATAAACATTATAAAATGTGAATAAATAGTAAAATGTAAATCAAAGCTGAATTTTGTCACATGACCCTCCAGAAATCACTCTAATATACTTTTAAATTGGCTTTTTAATTTTTTTATTTGCTGCTCATGAAACATTTCTGTAGTGGCGCTTCATATTGTTGAGGAAACCTCCACACACAACTATTCAAACGTGTGGAGTGAGCAAGATTAATGCTTTTATTCAGCAACGACCTATTCAATTGGTCAAAAGTGACACAAAAAAGACTTATTTTTCAAATAAATGCTGTTCTTTTGAACGTCATGTTCATCAAAAAATCCTGAAAAATAAAATGCATCATAGTTTCCACAAAAATATGAACAGCACAACAGTTTTCAATGTAGGTCACTCAAACAACTCCCCATTGAGCGCTGCGCTCCCACTGCATTGTTCTGCTCTTCACAACACAAATAAAGTCAGTCCAATTTTCTTCAATTAAATATAAACTTGCTCCAGAGTTTGGAAACGGGCGAGCATTGAACAGTACAGACCTGAGGTCAGCAACTGCGGCTTGGTGCACATTTTTCAAACATGACTTTTGTACAGTAATAAGTGGTGAAAAGCTTCTATTTAACAATTTTCTAGTTTGATATTAAAATTGACGTTTTTTTTTCAGTCTGATAATAGAGTAAAGTACACGAAAACATTAAAAATCCTAAAACTGTCTGTATATACCAGGTTTAATCCCATCGTTTGATTTGAACATGTTTTGCAATATTATAACCATCTGAAATGAGCTACGGTCTGTAGGAACACATCGAGAGTTGAGAACTGTTTCCTGGTCATGTTTCATGCGTAACCATGGGAATCGCCTCTAGCGTATACAGTAACAGCCGAAATTAAAAACCAGTGAGATTATTCATATCCCATGACCCTTTGCATGCTAATCAGCGCAGTGTGTGTGCAAAACAATCAAAGAGAGCGACTGTATCCTGCTCAGATGGCAGTGTGTGGTGCGACCGTGGCCTGCAGGAGGACAGATTGCGGTTCGATGTAATGCACACACACTTTCTGAGCACAGATGGTGCAGCGTGAGGCCTGTTGGAGGGGAATCGGTGTGTGTATGTCCTTTGAGGCTAGACGGCCTGAGCTTGATACTGGATCAGCTCACCTCTCTCACACACACATCTGCCATACATTCCAGACTGTCTGGAAGTACACAATTTAATTTCTACAAAAATTGACACATTAACAACTTTTAAAGTGACAGCCAAATATGGCGTTAAAGAAAGGAAGGAACGCGCTTAGATACGGCACCCTCGTGGGAGTAACCATGGAGTGTAAGAGAAGAAGGCGACGTGGCGGGATATTCACCAGGAAGTCTTATTAACACTTACAGTAGGAGACAGTCACAGGAGGAAATTAGTGATTTTTGGAGACAGAAATATCATTCATCGCGAATTCACCTAAGGGGCCTTAACTATGCATTGGAGGGTTATATTAATAATTTTATTGTTGAGAATGTCGATGGAAAGCTTCAGCTCCAGGCAAAAATGTACAGGTCACAGTGTAAACGTGATAATGGTTTATCATTGCCATCACCGTTTGGTGCTACAGTATTTACATCAATCATTCAGCACAACATTGTTAACATTTGTTATCTCGGTTATTTACAGATACGTTAATGAAGCTAAGTGACATGATGTACAACGCAGCTACATTAACGTTTTCTAACTTCATGCGCGTACAGTAAAATGTAAAACTGTTAAAAGAAAAGGCTCAATAAACTATTGCATAGATAGATACTGTCAATATGCATCGATATGTCTTTCTCTTTTCTTTGTGCTTTTAACTTTTCAATGAGGCGGACTTGAAGAGCTGCACGCTGTGACTCTGTGTGGCTTCAAACGCGTCATTCTGCGTTCGGGATGCGCATGAGTGCTTTGTGCCACAATGTATTGGAGTCTTTCATAATCATATCATAATACTTTTGCGCAATGAAAGATTATTAATAGAATTTTTTGTTCTGTCCTATTGATGGTGCTGCCTATTTAAACAGCTGTGCTATATATTTAAAAAAATGTCTTAACTTTATGGTAGACTATATATATAGATCTATCAGATTTTTATCTTGTTTTCCATGAATGTATTTCACAACACAATACAAAAAGCAATGTGTAACGTTTTACCAGATTTAGTCCAACACTTATTGTCTCTTATTTGTTCCCCACTACATAATGATTTTTTTTCACTAAATGTTTAGATTTTATACACTTATTGTGCACTTGTGATTTTTCTAGACTAAATTTTACCCACTAGAGTTGCTTCTAATTTTTTTCTAGAGTTACCCACTAATCTAGTTTATAAAATATTTTTTGTCATAGGTTATGATCATATATATGTATATTTGATTTGTTGTTTTTCTTTATAATGAGCTTGTCTGTAATAAGTAGATTAAGTTTACACACTAACAAGTGATTATCAGTTCAACACACACAGTTATAGAAATTCTACCTGATTTTTTATATATGTATATATATTTTTTTTACTCTGCTGGTATCTGTAATGCTGGGGCAGAGGCGTTGAGATCCATTTGCAGAGTTTTATTTAAACATGCAATGAAGCAGTGATAAACAGACATAAACTGTGCTAGTAACAGGGCAATCCGGAATCATAAACTTCATACAGGCAAGGGTCAGGGCAGGCAGCAAGGTTCACAGAAACGAGGATCCAGGCAGAGATCAGAGTACCAGAAAATCACAATAAACAGGAATAAATGCTCGGTAATGATAACAGACAGAATCAAGACTTCGCAAAGTCACAATGACAAACACAGTCCTTATAAAGGGGCAATAATGGGGAACAGGTGATGCAGATGGGGCTAATCAGATGAACTAGGCAGGTGTTAATCCAAGGGAGAGATGGGAAATGCAGTTCCTTAATAATCTGGAAAGAGGGAACGGATGAAGCCAGAGGGAGGCGCAGCCGAGCTCTCTGTCACAGTATCGGATCGGTATCGGTTGATACTCACCATTTTTTCTGAATGATCCGATACCAAAAATTCTATCGGGACATCCCTAATATTTTAGCTAATGCTAGCTTGATGAATTGAGTCATTGAACACAGAGAGAACGCAATGTTAGCCAGCTAGGTAAAGCTCCAGTGGAAAATTAAATTATTAGCTTCAGAGGCCATTATATTTTTGACTCATGGCTGAAGTTAAGTTTCTCCAGCTCTCCCCGGGTTGGCAAAAATGCATATCAAAATGCATCAGATTGATGATTTAAAACATGGAATATTTTTAATTTTCTTACGGGGGAGCATGATTTATTCATGTTTAGTTGGTGTTGTGGTCTACCGCATAACTTGATCGCAATTTAAGTAATTGGTATAATTTGATCGTAATTTAAATTAATCCGGAAGTTAATCCAGAGCAGACACTTAACTCGGTTGAGATGTGGCTTGGGAAAGGCTAAAAAAATACACACCGTCACCCCTAGTGTCGGAGTTGCATGTGCTCCATGCACACCGTTGTCCATTTTAAACTTAAAATGACAAGAAAAAACGAATGAAAACTGACTAACTGCAATGCATTTCAATGGATGTGGAAACAGAGAATGTCCGAGTGTATTGGATTAGCTGCGCACTGTGATTGGCTCATCAAGTTTGAGGCCGTGGCTTAGCCATAGGTCAATTTCCTCATCATCCACATAGGCTATTGGAGCTTGGACCCCAAACATTTTGGCAATTGTTTTTTGTATTATGTTACTTCACTTTATTATAACATTACAATTAATTAGAACATGTAGAATTTAAGACAGGATTTAAAATAATATTGATTTGGAGAAAAACTCTCATATGCTTACTTTTACATTTCTGTTTACCAACTAAGCTAATGAAAGAGATGCTTCCAGAGGTCAAAGATCCTCTTCTTAATATCATTAATTCATCTTTGTCATTAGGATACATACCAAAACGTTTTAGGCTGGCTATGATTAAACCGCTTGTTAAAAAAACACAACTTAATCCTACCCCAGACAGCAAACTGACATTGAATCAACGTGGAAACGACGTCTCTCATGACATTGAAACAACGTTGATTTTGCTCATCGAATTAACGTTGACCCAACATCAGACGCGGCATTCTTCAAAGCTAAATGAAAATCGAAAATTGGTTTGCTTTCATAACGTTGAAACAACGCGTTGATTTCAAGTTGATTTTCCGTTAGTTTTGAAAGAATGACGCGTCTGACGTTGGTTCAACGTTAATTCGATGAGCAAAACAATGTCAGATCAACGTTGTTTCGATGTCATATTTCCACGTTGATTCAATGTCATTTTGCTATCTGGGACAGAATTAGCCCGATTCCACCATATCTTTATGTATAAAATAATAATCTTTGGTAACACTTTACTTGATGGAGTGTGCATAAGACTAACATTACACCTTCATAATCATGACAATTTTAATGCAAATATGACATTGTTTGAGATGTATTGGTTATGACACCTTGACATAAACCAATACATCATAACCTGTAAGTGTCTTTGTCATGACAACTTGACCTAAGACAACACAACCTGTCACAAACATGACATAGCAGGTTAATTATCAAACTTAATAAACCACCTAGCTTTATTGGTTAACATTACATTAAACTGTCAGGTGGTTTGTTTTGGCATTGGCTGTCATGAAGCCATTATAACTTTTTAAAATAAATTTAATTAGTACCAATGTAGTGGAGGTCACAAAAAATATTCATGACACAGTTATAATGGCCTCATGACAGCCAATGTCAAAGCCAACCACATGACAGTATAACTTAAAGGAACACTCCGACTTTTTGGGACTTTAGCTTATTCAGCATTAGCTTAGCACAAAGACTGGATGTAGCATACTAATCCCAAATAAGTGACAGCATAAATTAAACATTTTCCTATTTACATGTTGTGATTTGTATAGTCACAGAGTGTACAAATAACAAGGTCACATGAGATACAGACATCTTTTAACCGTATAAATATTGGGAACTATATTCTCAGAAGGCGAAGCACTCCTAATTGGGCGGAGTGATAATCGCAGCACCCGAGACGCACCGTGGTGAGGAGCAGAGAGTTTGTTCAGAGTTGGAGTAATAGAGTAAGCAATAACTAGATAGCAAAAGCATATAGTTTACAATCATGGGTGTTCGTTGTATTGTAAAGAGCTGCGACAATAAACAGGGGAGATCAGGACTACCATGATGTTTCATAGAATTCCAACCAAAAACGCATCCTGACTAATAAATATCACAGAACATGAATAAAGAATTATTTACAGTAATAATCAATATATTTCAAATGCAATTTATTACAGCTGAACCAAATGTATTCAACAGCATATAATACAGTAATGTTAGATAATTGCATTACAATAGGCTAGAATAAGAGAATAAGGGGAAAGTATTAGCACAAAGGCAAATGGTTTTTGCACAATTAACCCACAGTAGCCTAACGTTACCCGTACTAGACAAGGTCACTGTTTCTCAAAAAAACAAAAACAAAATCCGGTTAATTAGCAAGGTCCTGAGTTTACCTCTTGC